TCAGGAGGTTTCCCAACCAGAAGCCCGAGTGATGCCATTCGGTTTGCACAGAGCACCTGCAACCTTTTCAGAGGTTGCTGGATGAAGTGCTGAGAGGAGCAGAGGACTAGGCAGCTGCTTATATTGATGACATTGTGGTCTTCAGCCGGACCTGGGAGGATCATGCACAACATCCCTTGGATGTGTTTCGATGCATTCAGAGTGCTGGTCTGGTCATGAATGTAAAGAAATGCCACACTGCTAAGCCTGACGTCATCAGCGTGCTAGAGACAGTACACCCCAATGCTATATTTAACCATTACAATTTACGGACTGTACTTCCCAAATATTACGATATTTGGGACAGACAGATATAAAAACAGTTGGAGACAGTCTGGCATCTTCTTCTCTTATCTAGAGCTCCGTGTGTTTGTTGTTACGTGGTGCGTAACTAAAACATTCATTCAGACATAATTCTAACACAAGGTGAATACAAGAAAACAATTGGTGTCAAGGTACACTTTTCAGAATCAACATTGTCTTCTGACCTTGAAGCAAAGCAGACTAGAGCAGACTTTGAATCTTACTAAACTGCATTACTAACACATAAAGTCTAGCACATTAATGTCTAATAATTATCTGAGTGATTTATTAATTTCTAACATATGTATAAGCAAGGAAAATAAAGGTATGAAAAAATAACTAAAAGAAAATACAGAAGTGAAAAGTAACCAAAGGAAACTAGAGTTATGAAAAGTAACTAAAGGGAACTAAAGGTATTAGAAGTAACTAAGGGCTTATAAAGTAACTAGAGCCTATAAGAATCCAATCTTACACCCTTCAACCTGGACAGTTACCTCAGCAATGGGATATTCTGTCCTCACCCACTTTGTCACATATGCCTAATGCTAAATACAATACTCTACACATTTGGTTCATTTGATGCTAATTAAATTAACATTTGTCAGCTATAGTAAATGGTCTTACATTGCTCTTTTTATGCACTGAAGCACACTCAAAGCACTTTACACACCCATCCGTGCACAGACATTCACACACCAGTGATATCACCGGGACAAACGAGGAGCTCAGTATCTTACTCAAAGACACTTTGACATGTAGACTGGAGACACCAGAAGATCTGACCACCTACCCTAAGCAAAGGGGACAACCACAGGCTGCCCAGTGGTAAATAATCAATGAACCAAAGTGTTGCCAAAAAAAAATTTCCCTACTCACCACAGGGCCTGTGCATTTCCAGATCTCTGTACCTGTCCTGCAGCCTGGCTCCCCTGTTTCTCTTTGCTGCTACTAGCCACTGCTGGCATGGTTGCCATCAAATAAGTCTGGAATTCATTTGTTTAAACTTCACATATAAATTTGTTCACAAAACCTTTCACTGTACAATTTGGCTTAGGCCTAGTTGTATTTCCTGTCATTTCTCTCGTCTGTGCTGCCTACAAACTTTACCAGTATCAAATCTTTTAACAGCATAAGAAATGGATGTGTTAGAGCTGCGGTCACAAAAGCTATACTTGCATGGATTTGTGGCACGTGCAAATTCACCTGTAAACAGTGATTACACTGCTTTATTTCTAAACAGTTAAAATGTCCGGATATCAGCTACATGACATTGTGGCAGGCTTTTCTACCTCAAGGTTGCGCACGCATCCTCGATTGTTTGTAAACGGAAAACCCGTCTGATACTGACGTCACCCGACACGGTAGTCCAATTTTATATAGCACAGGCAATCCACCATTACACTAAAATGACTATTACAAAATAAGAGCACGACTTCCGTTACGGCAAATTTGATCATGGATTGAAACGCACACGATCAACTTGTCCAATTCAATGAAGTTTGAAATGACTTGTAGCACAAACTGCAAGATCTTCTTTTGCAACACAGAGCACAGAGCCAGCTGTAGGCTACAAGTTGAAAGCTGTCCACTTAAAAGGGGTTGAAAAGTAGTATGAGGCATAAATGTGAAAATAAATAAATGTGTATTCAGTCTTAAGGATGAGTCATTAAATGAAAATGAATCTTGTTTGCAGTAACATGGCGAACATACTGTAAATAGAGATACCAGCTATTTAGACAAATCAGCAGTCAGCCTGAATTAGCTTGAATTTTATTTGCTAGCCACATATGTCATCTGCCTCTATTGATATTCTTTCTTTCTTTCTTCTTTACAGGTGAAATGTGTTTTGAAGTCCCTTCTGTGTCTACAGAAACTTTTAGAATCAATGGCATTATATTTCATAAAGACAAAGAAATATAACTTCCCCAGATAACTTCAAATGGTGTAGCATATTATCTCGAAAGGTCTGTTATCTTTTTTATATGCTGCTATGTGCAAATGATTAAAAAACACCAATTCTGGTGGCTTTGCTGTATTTTTTGTGGTTCTTTGTAGTTATTTTACATCTCTTTACAGTCAATCTATATCTTTCTGTTGTTGTTTATGTGCCTTTGTAATTTGGGGTCTTTCTTGTGGTTGTTTTGTGTATTGATCAAGTTATTTGAATTTAAGACAAGAAATATTAATAGTCGCTTCAAGCAGAGGCTCGGGCTCAGGGGCTTCCTAAGGACTTGGGCCACAGGCCTTGTGTCCAGTAGGTCCTTTTAGTAATCCGTCTGGCATACTGTTATGCAATGTCCCCAATAAAACACCGCAGTGGCTTTATTTTGAAATTTCTGTGGGGAAACGCTGGAGAGCTCGGCTAGCTCGACAGCTAGGCTGTACACAGAGTCTCCTTGCTGCCCCTGTTAAAGGGTCCACACAGGACTTTCTCCGCCATCACTTCCTTCTTGTGAGCAATGTGTTGTCAGGCAGGGGCTGCGAGGTGCCCAGCTCTTCATGCCTTCACGCCGCTAAGGAGCCATGGCGGAGCGAACACTGAGGAGGCACCGGGGCTTAGCGGGTCCCCAGAGGAAGGATCCGCATTACCTGCAGTACGACCACAAGTAATACTGTCGGAGTACAATGGTGGCGGCGTGTAAAGTTTTACACACATCTTTAGCTCTTGTCACGAATGACCGGTTCAACTTTTCACTAACTGGCTTTGTGCTGATCTCGATGGGGTCATAGCCACGCAGAGTTTGTTCTGCGTTTTTTCCCAGGACGTCTGTCCTGTAAAGCCATCTGCCCGGCGTAAATCTGGCGCACTGTCTAGCAGCGGCTCAAAAGAGCGCCGATTTAATATTTCAAAGGCGAAATTAGCGAAGGTTAACATGGGGACAAAGCAGAGCAGCCCGACTGCTAATCCCGCCGCCAACGGACGGACTAGAGCCTACTCCGGTTCGGATTTGCCCTCCAGCACGACCAGCAGTAACGGCAGTAGCGTTAACAGAACTACCGCACGGGCTGTCAGGTACCATGCATACAGTGCGTCCGGAACCCCCGGAGCCTCCGGAGCCATGTCCAGCACCAGCCAGCACCTCGGAGCCAGGGCCAGGTCAGTGGGGGGCTCCGGAGGCTCTGGGACCCGACCCCAGTCCGGTATCAACATTCCGAACACCAGTGGAACCTACAGCTCCCCGGAGTCCGGCGGCAGCAGTCCGGAGGAGGCGGCGGACCGGGAGCGCTCAGGCAGAGGGCACGAAGGTCCGCGGCTGTTGATAGGATCGTTACCAGCACACCTCTCGCCTCATCTGTTTGGAGGTAAGAGGGCAGAGCCGCAGAGTGGTGCTGACACAGCTCAGGGACTCACTGACCTGTAGTGACACATGATGGGCATTGCTCAGTCATTTCTTTCTCTATCCAACTGATTTCACATCGGCTGCTTCGTTAGAAAACAAAACTAAAGTGTATTACATACGTGAGTGAACAGGCTGCATTTTATCAAATTGGCACAAAGTTGGTCATATGACAGCAGAAACAATCCCAAAACACTTTACTGGTCATTAAAAATATGGGGTCATTAAATGACAAATGAATGACTGGCCCAGCCAAATCTTTAAGGAGACACAGGCCACATACAGTATAGTAAATAGAGGTTAAATTAACTCTGATGATTTGTAGAACAATACATGAAATAGCTGCACATAGATTATATTTATTTAATTTTCTTTTGTGTAGTGACCCACTGGAAAAAGTCCTGTTTGTCCCTACAGCCATTCCACCATTGCCATAAAGCCAGGACCTGTGCTCTGTCCATGAGATAGTCTTCATTTATTTTGTCTTAAAAACTGTGTAGTGAATCTAAAAACAGTGGAATCAACCAGTAACTTGTCTAGTCTATATAACTGTAAAATGTAAACTCCCCTCAGGCTGCTAAAACCCCTCAAACTGTAACAGGTCATGACCTCAGCAGTGACTGTAAGGCTCTGCAGTCCACTTGTAGGGAGGAATAACTGTGAGACTTAGTAGATGAATTGACCAGGAAGTAAACAGAAACATACTTCAGCTGACAGTCATTTTGGTAATCAATTCATCATAGTCATTTACAGAGTAAAAAAAACTGTTGGTTTCAGCTTCTCATTGTAACAACTTTCACCTTTTGTCTCTGTTATAAGATGATATATTGAATATTTGGTGGTTTGGACTGTTTAATCCACCACAAGTTTATTCAAATAAATCAGTCAATAGAAAAAAATCAACTAGTTAATTAACCTTGAAGAGAAACATTCATTGCAGTAGTGCTGGGTATCTATTGAAACTGTAGGCTGTTTTTTTTTTGTTTTTTTTAAATGTGTCATTTGGTGGCAATAGGATACTGAGTATGTATCTGCAGTAAGATAATATGGCCTAGTTCTACTTTTGACTTTGGGGAATAAAAACATGTTTTGACCAGTTTTTCATTTAACTAAGTATACCAAACCTTTCCATGTATAAGGGTAGGGTAGGGTAAGACTTTATTGATCCCACAATGGGGAAATTCCAGTGTTCCAGCAGCAATAGAGAGCAAACAACAAAACACCACAAGAGCAACAAACACCATAACACCACAAGAGCAACAAACACCATAAGTGTTTAAATAAGAACTTTTGTCCAGATAAAAGCCTGAAGTTAAAAAGATTATATTTTAGCCCATTAAAACTATGACTATCTGATCTAAAGAATAAGCGAAGAAAGCAACAAGCCTAAGAATCTGACAAAGTAACTTTAACATGTCCTTACTCAAAACATACTTAGATTCAATGACCAGACTTCCAAGTCAGCACATTTGTGTTGATGTAACTTAGCTACATTCACATTAACTTCTAAGTGACTCAAATTCAGATTTCAAAATGGTTTTCCTTCCAAATGACTCTGACCTGACCTGTGAGCAAACCAGATCTGATCTGGTCCACTTGCATGTGGTCCTAGATAGGATTATGTCCATTCTCTGGTCATGCCATTGCTGTCTGAGCAGTCAAATCATAATTAATGTGTGTGTGTTTTTAATGTTTCACCTTTGTGCACATGTGCATACTGCCTGTCATCATCATCATTCGGTGTTGTCAGTGTTTAAGGAGAAACTTCTGGTCAAGCCAAACTGGAAGGAACGTGTTTTAACCGAGCAGTTTGGGAGGAAATTGCACAAATGATGTTATTGTTGTTATTCTTGTACACACGTGGCTCACATTTCAGTTACATAGGCATCTGTGTGGCTGGTTAGGACTTCACCGGTGGTCACATTGCAGCTGGATACATGTCACTGACAAACATGAATGTGAATCATCAATACAAAAAATTAGATCTGACAAAGCAATGGGAATTGAGCATTAAGGCCTGTAATGTGAATGTAGCATTACACTGCCATGGACGGAGATACTGTCCAGTGAGTGAGTAGCACCTGCTAGTTTTAATGAGATTCATGTGTGAGGATGATGACTCACGTGTGAATTGAGTTGAACATTGTTAATATAAACAGTGTGAGTCTTCTTGTTGATCCAGTTGATCCACTGTGGTAACTGCACTGATGGTTTGCAGGCATAAGTGACAGCTCTTGCCATGGTAAGCTGAGGTTATCCAGTCAGAAGTGTCCCGTCCCCTCCAGTCACTACAGCACTTTTGAAAGTTTTTCCACTGTGTAGTGAAATGAATTCTTTGCTTAAAGAAGAGTAACATTTCAGAGATTTGTTTTGGCTGGTTGGTTGTTCTCTACCTCACAGGTTCTTGTTAAACAGACCGGAATGCTGGAAGTCATTTGCTCGTGGATGGAAAAAAAAAAATTCTTAGAAACATTTGAAGAAGACAGTTGATAGGTTTGTCTGATTTGAATTTTGTCTCACTTGAGTGCATATGGTTGCAGCCAAGAGAAGTAATAAAGTAGCTTATAGCAGTAAGCTCCAACAAGCTTCCTGTAGCTGTGGACCAGAGCTGCACAACATTCTGCTGCATGACCCAGCTCCTGCTGAGCTCCAGCTGGTGGACAGCCACCCTGATATTATCCTGGCAGATACCTTGATGAACTGGGTAATTCAGTGTTGTCTCACTGATGGAAAGCTGTCCAGGCCCAGAGGCAGCATATCAGGCCCACATCCTGGCGCTGCCTCTGCTGTTCGGGATGATGCTTTCATTTTGCTGTGAAGTGCCCTTTTAACACTCTGCACAGTGCTGAGTGTTCTTCCCAAGCAATCCAACCTTAGTTTCATCAGCCCACAAAAGATTCTCCCAGCAGAGCTGTGGAGTGTCAGCATGCTCTTTGGAGAGCGGCAGCTTCCTCTGTAGTGTCCTGCCATGGATGCCACGCTGCTTGTGTATAGGGGTTATGCGCAACTTACTTCCGTATACTGCAAAACAGAATAATCCGTTTCCGGTTTGCGACTTGTATGAAATATGGCACTGTTCTACTCAAGATGTCTCCAAGAACTACCAAAAATGAAGATCACGGATGTCCACCGAATATGCAGTTCGACGTCTAAAACACCGGGCAGCAAGCTGGATAAGGGGTTTAAGCTATATGCTTCTTCATACATCCACGACTACGAAGGTAGAGTTATGTATCGGTTATCTTACAAACGGAGATGTAGCTAAGCTAGTTCGTAAGCTAACTAGCTAATGTTATCGATATTTACACCGAGCATCTGTCTGGTACACCAAAATAATGTAATACACTACCGGAAAGCTAATAGTAACTAAGCTTGTGTGATGGAAATGCTAAATTCGCAAACTGCTGGGCTTCTAATTTTTCACATGCCATGTCCAAGGCTGATGGTTCTGTTCTAGCATAGTCATGACACTGAAGCAGAAATC